TTACCTGTTTTACTATTTACACAAAAATGTATTATCTGTATTACTATTTAGAGTTCAGATAAACATGTACTTACCTGTTTTACTATTTAGAAAATTATGTACTTATCCGTTTTACTATTTACACAAACATGTACTTACCTGTTGTACTATTTAGACAAACATGTTTACCTATCTAGAAAAGAATGTATTTGCCTGTTGTACTATTTAGACAAACTTGTACTCAACCTTCGTACTGCAAAGATAAACATGTACTCACCTACTGTACTTCAATAGCAACATGTTCATCTGATGTACTAGTAATACTAACATATACTCACCCATTGTAGTTTAAAACTGCAATTTCCTAATAAACAAGAAGGACAGCCATGAGCTCACCCTTTGTACTATACAAAGGGTACAATATGTGTTGACATATTGTACTGTTGAGGCGAACATGAACTATTTCTACACCAGACGCTTCTCTCAATTAGTATTCAGTGCTCTCATTAGTTTTCTCTTTACCAGTGGAGAGTAGAGTGGAGAGTAGAGTGGAGAGTAGAGTGGAGAGTAGAGTGGAGAGTAGAGTGGAGAGTAGAGTGGAGAGTAGAGTGGAGAGTAGAGTGGAGAGTAGAGTGGAGAGTAGAGTGGAGAGAAGAGTGGAGAGTAGAGTGGAGAGTAGAGTGGAGAGTAGAGTGGAGAGTAGAGTTTCGATTTGGAAAGGATCAAAACTTAGCGAAATGAGAGAAAATTGTTGAATAGTAATAGTAGATTTTTTAAGTTCTTGTAAGAATTGTAGAAACAGTGTCTGAATTTAATGAATTTGAGCCGCGTCTTAAATCCCCTAAAAACTGGTTTCAATTAAGCACCGGCTTAAATCTTGAAACATTGAATATAATTTTAAGTGAAACCAACTATATTTGAGCCGCGGGCTTAAATTTAAGCCGCAGCTCAAATTCTATCAATTCGGCCTCTGTAATAATAAAAGAATTTTAAAGTTTTTGTGATAAGCGGAAACGGTCCATGATGAGTTTGATCAAATCCATGAAAAAATTAAGAGATGAAGTTTTTGGAAAAAGCGGACAGGGATCAAAAATAGACCTAAAATTTGAAGAAACCGATAAAAAATGAGAGATTTAAAGTTTTTGTAAAAAGTGGAAACGGATCAAAAATATGAGGAAACGGACCTAAACTTTGAGGAAACCGATTGACAAATAGAGATTTTTTAAAGTTTTTGTAAATAGCGGAAATGGATCAAAAATATGGGGAAACAGGCATAAAATTTGAGGAAACCAATGAACATAGTGAGATTATTAGAGTTTTTGTACAAAGCGGAAACGGATCTAAAATATGAGAAAACTGACCTAAAATTTTAGGAAACCGATCAAAAATATGAGGAACAGATCAATTTATAAGTTTTTGAAAAAGAGGAAAGGGATGAAAAAACGAGGAAACGTCCAAAATTATTGGGAATCCCCTCAAAAATATTTAATTAAAATAAAGCGGAAATGAATATATAATTTTGGTAAATCCATCAAAAAAAAGAGGAAAATCCTCAAAACCGGAATTTAGGGGGATTTCCGAAAATTTGAAGAAATTACGGAAATGCATCAAAAAATGAGTCATTTGTTCTGTTTCCTCTTATTTTTGATCCGTTTCCTCTTATTTTTGATGCGTTTCCGTGTTGAGGCGTTTCCATGTCACGGGGAGGGGGGGGGGGGTCAATTGGAGTGCAGCGTAAACACCCATCTTCCCATCCTCAAAGTAGAAACCAAATTAAAACTTTAGATAAAAACACCTAAAAATAATTCCTCTTGAATCTCACCAACATTTGTAAATCTAAAAGAACAGTTTCAAGCGAATTAAATTTTTATTGTCTTTTAAAATGTTTACCTTTTCGCATTTTCAAATATTCCTGCGAGTGGAATGCTGCATAATTCAAGAGTTTTGCAGTTTAATATAGTGAAAACCATAGAATTTCCAGGTTGGTTCCATGTGGAATTAATGATAGGTAGAGGTATGCCAAATATTTTGTTATTTATTTTATAACGCGAAGGTTAGCCATTTAGGAGGAAGAAGATCTATTTAAGTTCCTAAATAAAGTTTGACATCATTCTCATCATCTAGGTTTGAAGATTCCAGCATGACATGTAATCATATTGCAATTACTTTAGTCTATCCATATTTTATAGCCCTAATTTGGCCAGATTAAAAAAATAAAAAAAATCAGCCTTCCTTCTGCATAGAATCTCTTCCCCCAAGGGTTTCCAGCCAGGGGCGTATTCAGGAATTTGTGCAGGGGGGGGGGCTTAATTTTTTTTCTTTCTAGGGGGGGGGGTTGTTACACATCTGCTTATTTTGAAGGTTTTTTAATATCATTTTAAGGCAATATTTTCATGAAATAAAATTGTGTTTTCAATTCTACAATAATTGTTTTAATTCGGGTTATTGTAGAACAGGTTCTATTGAAGGGTCGGTTTTTATAATATCTTCGGGACATCCTTTACTGTAATCTTGCAGCTGGTTATTTAAGAGATTTTAAAAGAGGGTTTTATGAACGTAATCTTAAGAGACCCTCTATTAAAGTCCGATTCACTACGGTACCCTTTAAAGCTTCGTCTGATTAGTAATTAAGTATGAATAATAAATGTCCATCATTTTAAATAATATATCAATGTTCATAATTTTAAATAACATATCAATGTCCATAATTTTGAATAATATAATATCCATAATAAATCAATGATTTTGAATAATAATTCCATGTCTATTATTTTTAATGATAAATCAATGTCCATAATATATCAATGTCCATAATTATGAAAACTGATAATTATTTTTGATTGTTGTTTTGTTGTTTCTCTACAAAAGGGACTTTTGCATATGATTTCTGCAACGTAAAACAATGTAGAAATTATCAGAATTATTGATCAGATAATGTTTCAAGGGTTTTTAAATTTTAAGGTATACGGTAAAATGCCACTTGGATAAAAGCGACATTTTTTTTTGTTGGGTCACCCTGTATTAACCCTTCTTTGAAAAATTATTTTGACAGAAACATGGGATAGAAATGAGGTGAATTTTATGAAATAAAATAAGAGGGTTTTTTAGTGTTCTATTGATTGTGACAAAGTATGTACTTACTGACATTATCCTTCTTATAAATAATATCTGATGTTGATTTAAGAAAATATTACTAAGAAGAAATCTTTGTATTATTGAATTACCTAGAAATTTGAAATTAGATTTGTTTTTTATCTTGAATTTTATCCTTCTCCCAGAAATAGTAAAATATAGTTTGGTATGTTTTTCAAAACTAGAATTTTAGTTTATCTAAAATAATAATTTTTCCTTTAAAAAAGTTAAATATTACGGTTTAAGTAAACAAATTTACTATTTGTATATTTTAAACCCCGAAGGAAATTGCAGAACAAATGTATTATCACAAAAAGTTTTAATTTTGCGGGGTTTTGCCTAAAATTAGGAAATGTTGACCATAGTTAGCAAATACATTGTAAAGACTTAATTATGTAGAGAAGGGTAAAGGCAGCAGGGACAACTTTACTCAAGAGGGATAGGGGAGGGAGAATATTGTACTTTAAAGGGCATTCTGAACCCTAAAAGAGGACATATTGAACCTAAAAAAGAGCATATTGAACCTAAAAGAGGACATATTGAACTGTAAGGGGCATATTGAACGGAAAGGTGGTATATCGAATCTATTGAACCTGAAAGGGGGCATTTTTAACTGAAGAGGGGGAATATTGTACTTTAAGGGACATATTGAACTGTAGGGGGCAAATTGAACCGAAAGGGGCATATTGGACGGAAAGGTGGTATATCGATTCTAAAGGGGGCATAATGAACCTGAAAGTTTGCATTTTGTACTGAAGAGGGGCATATTGAACTGAAAAGGGGGCATAATTAACTGAAAAGGGGGCATAATGAACTGATAAGGGGACATATTGAACTGATAAGGGGGCATATTGAACTGAAAAGGGGGCATATTGAACTGACAAAGGGGGGCATATTGAACTGGAAAGGAGGGGCATATTGAACTGAAAAGGGGGAATTTTGAGCTTGGAGGGCGTGGCTGCTTGGTCAACTTAGTTCTATATTTGAGCTGACATAGCACTGATATCTAGTGAATTTATTTATATTTGAGCTGACATAGTACTGATATCTAGTGAACTTATTCATATTTGAGCTGACATAGTACTGATATCTAGTGAACTTATTTATATTTGAGCTGACATAGTACTGATATCTAGTGAACTTATTCATATTTGAGCTGACATAGTACTGATATCTAGTGAGCTTATATTTAGCCTAACAGCCCCCACCAGAATACGCCTAGCTGTTTCTATCAAACGAAAATTTTGCCAAAAAATGCGAAAATTTTCGTTCGCATATTTCACAAACTTTTCCCGAAATTTCGCATTTTTTTTGCAAAAATAATAAATTTTGCTAAAATTGTTTTTGCAAAAAAAAATCCACGAAAACCATGGCTGCGCGGAAAAAACAACTGTGGAATTCTCTGATAATGAAAGTAAGCAAATTAGTAGTTTTATTATATGCTTATAAGATTAACAATTTCTCTTCTGTATTTTTTTTCGCAAAATTTTCGCTCGCCCAAAATTTTCGCATTTCGAAATATTCGGCGAAAACTTTTTTTCTCGCGTAAAATGCAAAATTCTCGCGAAACGATTATATGGGAACGGCCTATACCTCCCCGGCCCCCTCTTAAATTATCATTTGTATATAAAAATGTCAGCAGAAAACTAAATTTTTCTTGTTTTCTTTGTTCTATTGTGTCCGAATTCCATTCATTAATATCCACTCATGTATTCCGTGATTCAAAGTCTCTGTAAAATTTTAAGAATTAATATCTCAAAACCGGATTTGTACAGAACATTTGACAGGGTAAAGTTAATTAGAAAGCAGGAGGAAAGCCTCGTATTTTTAGAGACATCTAGCGGCTAAACCTAGCATTACCAATTCTTAATTTTGTGTTTGACCAATCAGAGTCTGCTCAGAGTATTTGAACCAATAGTAAAATAGTTGAAAACTTTCAATGTTAGACCAAAACAACATGGCGGGTAAGATATTTGTTTTTATTTTTGTCTTTTTAGTTTTAACCCCAAAAGAGTCAAAAAGTGTGAAATTTCGTAACATAGATTAGAGAAAATTTGTTCTTTAGAAATCGCGGGTCATTTTGAACCTAAAGAGCTACTACACGAACCACTCTCTATTTTGAACTAATTATCCCTAAAATTGGATTTTTTTGTTTCTAATTTTTGTGTAACTGCATAAATTGGGGTTATTTGTTAAGATACGGTTTTAAATGTTTTAATATGGTGTTTTCTTAACAGTTTTATTGTATCTAAATATTAAAATAATCTACAAATTGTACTTAGAATGCTGTTATGAAATTAAGTTCTTTGTTGTATAACCACATTTTTCTATTTTAGATATTTATTTCTACCAAGAAGACCCGGATGACGATTCTGAAAATAGTAAGTCTTATTTTATATTCCTGTCCGTATACAGTGGCGCATTTTTAGCACTTTTGTAAGGGGNGGGGGGGTTAGCCCCCCGTATCGATAAAATATCAAAAAAAACTCTGTTAGCAGGACTTGAAGTAAGAAAACAGTGGGTTATTTCCTAGAGAACGATTTTTGGACCCCTCCCCCCTCCGATCAATTTTGTACATTGTTATCATGTGTATCACATGAATATCATTGGTCATGTGGCCGCAGCGCCTGGCCCCCTACCCTGTCCTAGCCGCAGCGCTCGGCCCAGAAATTGTTTTAATCTGACCTAACCCTTAAATAATAATAATAAAAAAATAATAATTTCGCTGATAAACGAGTAGTCAAAATCGATAGGAAGGGGGGAGGGAGGGGGTACAAAAATCGTTCTCTAGGACAGACCCTAACAGTGATTTTTAATTGTTAAAGGGTGGGCTCTGTGCCCAACAATATACCAAATTCTCGAAATATCAACGGTTTGTTTTTATGTTTTAAAAAAAATATTCTTTCAACAGCTTTAAAATGTACGACATGATCATTAATTAATTTATTCGATGGAGTAAATTAATTAAACATGTGCGCGAAGTGCAAGAAAATGTCTGTTTTTTATTGTCTGTTCATGTATTTCTTAGTGTCTATTAGTCCCTGGCTTAGTCATATTCACTATGTATTTAAAGTCCCTTCTTACAGTCAACAGCAGTTTTTTGTAATTCATCCACTAGTCATTTATTGGTCTGTGCAGTATCTTGATTATATTTCTTTTGTTATCCTCCGACCCAGAATAAATCGAAAATCATGGCCCCCTCCCGCACTGTGGAGTGAACATCGGCCATTTGGTGGTTGGAGAAATAATTCTTTCAAAAATATATCCCCTGGTTCACTAATATGTAAAGTTTATATACGAGGATATAACAAAACTGCGTACTTTACACACAGAACAAAGGTGTTCTATCCAGAATAAAAGCTTCCAATGAGACCGTTTTTACGATTATAGGGTACCATTGTGAATTGTTGATGGCACTCATTAATTGAATTATTACGTTTTCAGCTAAACAATCCGTAATTAAAGGCAATTATTTAAGAACAGATAATGTAATTTCAAGTGACCCCTAATATCAGATTCAGAAGGGTGCCCTTAAAACTTTGTAAGAAAAAGGAATGAAACTTTTTTTTTACTTTAAATGATTTTTTTCAACTTGTGTTTCTCTTGAAAGGTAACTTTTGGATTTCCTTTTACAGATACAATTAAGGAATTTGTCAGAAATAAGCATTTTTTAAAGCTAGAATAACGAAGATATTACCATACTATTGATAAGAGGGTAGGGTACCGTTGAAAATGTGGCTTGCCCCTCTAGTTCTTTTTGGGGGTTCACTTAAAAGTTGTCCCGTTAGATTCCCAGACCTTGTTACTAGATATCAACATGTATAAAATTGCAATATTGGTCCCAAAAAAAAGGGCTCTAACTACCACAACGGGCATGTTTTTGGGACACCCTGCAGATACATCGAAGCTTAAAACATAGATTGTCCAATTAAAAGACTATTTTATAAAATTAAAATCTAACCACTAACTTAGTATTTTTGCTGCGTGGGAAAATGAAATTCATTTGGGGTCTTTAATTTCAGATTAATGCTTAAAGACTAAAGGAAATGCGAGGAGCATGCTGCATGGTTCCCACACTCTTAAATTGAAACTGAACCTAACAGTGCAACTTGCAACTTTACCTCAAATTATTCTTAAGGGTTATGTCTTCTGTTTCTGCACCCGGGACATAAATTAGATAAACCTGTCGTGTTTGTCTGTTAGAACAATACAGGGAGGACCAATAAACATTAAAACTGTGTTTCCTTCTCTCTGATTCGTTCATCAAGTTTCAGCAGAGAAATAACTAAATAAATAAGAAAAATAATTTGAGATAAGTAAATCTAAAAGAAATGTTCATGGCCTGGATCCGGAATCATTTATGTCTAGTGCAGATCCCGGTTCTGGATCCGCATACAAATTAAATGTTTCCTAAGCATTGATATTGATAATGGCTTCCAAGATCCTTAACGCTCTTTATTCCAATACAGTTTTCCTAATTTATTTGTAGCTCTACATTAGGTCATTTTTCAATATGTTTATTTCATTTCCTGAACTTTCCCTTCTTTATTTTATTTTTAAAGTAAATTGTCGAAAAACAAATTTTATTCTTTATGCTGTTATTTTAATGTTTTTGAACAGTCATTCTAGTATTTAGGTTTAAATTCATGTTTGGGAATGAACCAAACCAACAATTATTCTTAATGAAAATGATAATGTTTTTTTTCAGCGTTTAGTGATGGTTATGGAGGCAGTAATCCGGACGCGGGGCTCACGCCCGTCGCGAAAATGGAGAAATACGCATCTTCAGACAACATTTTTAACAGGTAGGAGATCATTTTTAATCTGCAGATTAATTTCATCTTTGTTCGGTATCCCGCATGGAAAGTCAAGGGTGAAGGGAGCTTTGATCAGGGGAGGAATAACTGAAATGAGGACGTGTATGGAAAGGTATAGGTTTTTTATAGAACCTCAAATTAAAAGTGTCCACGTTTGGATTTCGAGATCAAGCTATCGGGAAAATGAAATGATACTCCGTGAGTTTAAAGCTTTTTCATGCATGAACAATATCTTGAAAGAAAAATTTCAGTTAAAAAAAGTTTTCAGTGAAAAAATTCTGATACATAAAAAATGTTTTACTTTATCTTTGTCATTCTGGAACTTTTCCCTTTTTTCTGAACATTTTCTTCTCAGGGATACGGTTGAATATAGTAACAATTTGTCAATGTGTTATCTCCACCCCACGTCACGTTTCTCAAAAGGGGTTGAGACTACTTATTAAAGATCTATTTAAATAATCTATAGTTGTATGTTAGTTTAGAGAAATTTAGTTTATTGCCTGGTTTTTAGTAATCTTAATGCGAGTATAAATTAAGTTATGCACATTTTACAACTCGAAATGTTGCTGTTAGAAACTAATGGTTGGCAAAACAAGCATGTTCTAGGCTGTTAGGAAGTAAAAGAAAGTGTTAAACTTCTTTTTCATCAATAAAACTTGATACTAGGAATTATAAACCATGACGAGGCAAAGTTTTAGTGCGCAAGATTGCTGACAAGTTGGTTCAGTGCTGACAAGATGCATTTTTAGCGATATTTAGGAAACCTGTCTATATTTGAGATGACATAGTACTGATATCTAGTGAACTTATTCTTATTTGAGCTGACATAATTCTGATATCTATTGAATTTATCTATATTTGAGCTGACATAGTACTGATATCTAGTGAACTTGTTCATATTTGAGCTGACATGGTACTGACATCTAGTGATTTTATCTATATTTGTGCTGACATAGTACTGATATCTAGTGAACTTATCTATATTTGAGCTGACATAGTACTGATATCTAGTGAACTTATCTATATTTGTGCTGACATAGTACTGATATCTAGTGAACTTATTCATATTTGAGCTGACATAGTACTGATATCTAGTGAACTTATTCATATTTGAGCTGACATAGTACTGATATCTAGTGAGCTTATTCATATTTTAGCTGACATGGTACTGATATCTAGTGAACTTATCTATATTTGTGCTGACATAGTACTGATATCTAGTGAGCTTATTCATATTTGAGCTGACATAGTACTGATATCTAGTGAACTTATCTATATTTGAGCTGACATAACACTGATATCTAGTGAATTTATCTATATTTGAGCTGACATAGTACTGATATCTAATGAACTTATCTATATTTGTGCTGACATAGTACTGATATTTAGTGAACTTATCTATATTTGTGCTGACATAGTACTTATATCTAGTGAACTTATCTATATTTGTGCTGACATAGTACTAATATCTAGTGAACTTACTCATATTTTAGCTGACAGTACTTATATCTAGAGAACTTATCTATATTTGTGCTGACATAGTACTAATATCTAGTGAACTTATTCATATTTTAGCTGACATAGTACTGATATCTAGTGAACTTATTCATATTTGAGCTGACATAGTACTGATATCTAGTGAACTTATCTATATTTGAGCTGACATAGTACTGATATCTAGTGAACTTATCTATATTTGTGCTGACATATTACTGATATCTAGTGAACTTATTCATAAATTATCTGACATAGTACTGTTATCTAGTGAACTTATCTATATTTGAGCTGACATAGTACTGATATCTAGTGAACTTATTAATATTTGAGCTGACATAGTACTGATATCTAGTGAACTTATT